TATTTGTGGATACTGTGATAAGTTACTTATTTCCTATTACTTAAAATGAATTATTTCTAAAGTTTTAATGAACGCTGTATGAATACTGTAGTAAAATAATGTTATAAATTTAATTATACATTTTTTAAATTGATTTCAGTTGATTTGATGAATTTTTACACTCATAAAGTAATTCACAAATAACAGTTTTTAGCTTTCCCACCGTTTTATTTAATTTTCTTTATGAAAGTCCCAACTTTCAGGTAATTAAAGTTGTGTAATTCTATTGTACCATTCTTTCTTTAATATTTATATTATAAATGGTCAGTATTCTAGGTAGATTTTATAATAAATCATTCTACTGAAATTTATGATTATGAGTTTAAATATTATTTATGTAAATTTTACTAGACTCATTATTTACAATCCTATTAGTATGAATTTAAACAAATTAATTTCTAAAAACATTTAAAGTATAGGTTTTTTGCCTTTGTTTCAACAATAATGTTTAATAGTTTCTAAATAATATTTGTACTTGTGATTTTATGATTTTTAGTTGGAATAGATTTCAGAAAAATTATTTAAAAAAAAAAAACTAAAAAATCTGTAACCTCTTGTTATTTAAATTATTTAAATTATTTATATTACCTATAGTTAAACTATACTAAAACAATTGTACTGTATTAAATTATTAAAATTCCAGAAATAAGTGTTAAAAATGAAAGTGGTGATACTGAAATCAATGCAATGGCTCTTAAATTGAAAGATAGTTATCGGAAAAAGGCTTTAACTGCAGTAAAACAAGCAAATGCTTCTCCAGCTAAGGTTTATTCAAACACAGCTAATAGAACACTAACTTCAGCTATTAAACCAATCACAACTAATACACAAACAAATAAGCAAGAAAAATTAATTAAAAATTATGAAGATGTAGAAAGTAGAAAAGGTAAGTTATCAAAAATTAAATTACGTTTTGAAATTTTTTATAAAAACATTTAATATTWTATGTTATTTTGTGCAATATAGCTAGATTTGCTTGGGAATCAATCGCAAGATGCTATGTACCATATATCATACGTTTAATTAATGGTGAACATTTAAAGTTTATATCTACACGGATGGCTGAGACACATCTTCTTTGCAATTATTTACATTATTTACATTCAGATATTTATTCGTCATGTACATCAGTGAAGTGTTATTTTATCACTGAATCAGAAGCAAAGATATTAAATGACATCAATTATAACTATACTGATTGTGTGTATGGAAAAGAAATGTTCTATGCTGGAAAAGATTCTATTGCTCGTTTAGAAGATGTGCATGCATTTTATACATTCATAGAAATATGTTATAAAAAATTACTGTGCAATATCCCTCCCGATCACAATACAATATGTGGTTTTATACGTATCAACTCTGAATCTGTTGTACCATACTGTATTCAAGATAATCAAAAATATGTTCCACTTTTCTACTTCGAAGGCGAAACCGAAAACTTAATTAACCAAGCTATAAAATTAGAAAATTGGGACTTGTCGTATCTCAAGTTTTGTTGTAAAGTTCAGGGTATCAAAGATGAGTTATATGCTAATGACTCTTGCTTAGTGGTCCGTCTTGATGCTATCAAGAATTACTTTCCACCAAATACAAATTTTGAAGAATATTGGCCAGCTAAGGTGGTTAATATACATCTTCTACTTAATCAGAATTCTGCCCAKTTTAGTCCATCTGGTGCCTGGCTCAAGGCACCCCCTGAAATAGCACTTGCTAAAAATGCTATTCCTATAATTGCACCTACACCAAATATACCTCAGAGTATGTCAGTAATGAACACCTATCATAACGAATGGCCAGTAAATCAAATGGTATGTGTTCTGTACTTAGTTGGTTAAATTGCTTTTATATTTTTGGTTCTTTATAAGAAAAAAGTTGCTTGTGTTTTCCACAATGTAATCATATGTATCATTTATTTTATGCTTAAAATTATTTTCAATATTAACTATTAAATATTAATAAATAAATAGTCTTATCAATTATAAAAATAGTTAAATATCTTATAGGTACCCAACAAAATAATACCTATTTAAATGGGAATTAATTCTTTAAAGGGCTTAGTTTTTTTACTTGTATTTTTTTTTTTTTACTATGCTCACTATTGTGATCATCATATATTTTAATTCACTAATTTTTTTTCCTATAATATATCATTCTAGATTATTATTAAATAAACAATGTTTTTGTAGGTTTATTCGCACAACACTCAGACCCAACTGCCAGCAACAACTCGTGGCTTCTCTAATACAACTAGAAATCAAAATATGACTGCCCAGTGTTATAATGAGGTACTTTTTTTTTTTAATTTGTCAACCAATTATCGAGGTTTTTAAGCTCACAGTGTAAGCTCAATTTCATATTTTTGTCACTATTAAAGAAATAAGTCCAAGGCTGGGCAAGTTAACTAATTATTTTAACTCGTTAAGTTAAGTTAATACAGAAAAATGTAAGTTAAGTTTAAAGTTAAAAGTTAATTTGAAAAAAAAGTAACTTAACTTAATTAAAAATAAGTTAATTTTCTTTTTTCATGTACAATAAATTATCATACATTTTTATCAAAGCTTAACAAATAACACAATATAATGGAAGTCTAACTATTTTCAATAAACTTATGTAATTGTCTTAATTACAGTAGGTATTTAGTAAGTACACTAATTACATACTTCAATCAATTAAAAAATCTAACAAAACAAATAAATTATTTCAATGTATTTTTTTTACCTACACGTTTTCCAAAATGATGGCTTAACTTAAAAATTTTATTTTATTTATTCTATTAATCATTACCAATTTATAAATATAAAATAATATTAATAATAACCGACCTACTGTGTGGCTAGTTTGTTCATTTATTTATAGTACCTAAATACATTAGACCATTGGGTTTAAATTT